GCCACCAATCAGCAATCAACAGAATTTAATGCAACTCTGCGCGTACAGGCTATGTATTATCCGCTGTTTAAGACGCGCAGAATTACGAACTAAAAATACCTAAACTAGAAATAGAAGGTTTTCTTTTCAATATTGTTTAGGGTAGACATTTTAGTTTATTCGCTAGTTGTCGCCAAGGACGACCAAATGAACGTGAACTGATCTTCGGTGATTTACGCTTCTTTAATTTTTTTGACTAGCATAAGATATGTGTTTTCGTGTTTAAGCGTGTCTTTTTAGAATATTAGGTCTTTAAAAAATAATTATATAATAACACAGAAAAAGGGAATTTTTACTATTTAGTAATTTTCAATGTACACTTGTTTAATGACCGAAGTTAAGCAATATAGAGCCCGGTCAGGACTTATATGGTGTTTCGCTTGCGAACATTGTGTACTGTTAGCGAAAACCATGTAGAAAGCCAGGCTGGTTATTTGGCTAGAAACTTCATCCTGTACATTATTTGATATGGAAACCACAGCGGCCAAACTCAGTTTTGTTGAAAGCGATGACCCATACAACTCATTGGTGTCTACGCGACTAAAGGAGGAGGAGGAGATGAGATGAGGAGGGGATGAGGATATAAATATTTGTGGATGATTTCGATGTAAATATTTGTAAAAAATGTGTTTATTAATTAGACAGATTCTGGAAGTCTTTCATATTTCATAACGGTTCTCGTCCGATCACTAAAGTTAAGCAACGTTGAAACTAGTCAGTACCGAAATGGAGAATACCAGGTGGTGTAAGCTAAGAGACAGGTCTAACAATCCGGCGATTGATATATGCCATAAATGAACATTATACAACAGAGATAAAGTTTTAAATCAGAAGGTATATCAACGTTTTAATTACATTAATGTTAATGAAGAAAAAAATTAAAAAAAAAGACTCGCGTGAAAACTTATTCAGATTATAAAAACAAGTTTAAAGATGATGAAAAATTAAATAAAAATATTTGTAAATAGGCTAATAGATAACAATATATTTTAAGACATTTTTTATGTTTATACGTTCTTTTTTTTAAATTTTTTTTTCATAAAGCGTGACGTTATAACAGTAATTGTTTGTTCCATAATCCATTGGGGTCGGAGAGGCATCACATTTACTAATTGGTGTGTACAGGGTAAGGTAGCCTGAAGGGACCCACCCATCTTTCGGTTGGTTTTAAATTCAGAATTTTTCTTCTTGTTGCCGGCTCTAGGCTAGAATGACTAATTTGCTCTGCTATTTGAACCCTATCTCAGGTAATATGAATTCATGCCTTTTCCAAGAGCATTATCGCAAAATGAACGGAATAAAATCGAATGGAAATTGAACGCGGTACGCCAAATCCACTGTCCACGTCGGTATTCATTACACCAACCTCACCTCCCATGCACAAAAACATCCGCCCACACACGCACAGATATATATAGGAACAAATAAGAAAACTGCCATAAATTAGACATGTTTCATTAATTTTTAATTTGGCTTCATCAGATTCTTTCGGGAGTACAGACGCTTTCGGTATTTTGAATTCTCTGCTCTAAGTTTTTATTGGTCAGGTAGATATCAAATGTTCATATTTTGTGGAGTTTGTATACATGTATTTCCGAATCGTAATGGTCATTTTTTGCATCACCATCGAAGTGTCTTGGTGTATGTTTTGTTCTTGAAGTGTGTATGTGTTTCTGTGTCAGTATTCTAATAGCCGTTGTGTGTGTATTCCTCGAAGTGTTTGTGTGTATCTAATTGCTGAAGGCCATCTCAAGAACAATGGCAAAAATTTGTATATGTGTGTGGATGAAATTTTCTAGTTGGGCGTACGGTGACTGCAGATAGATTATGTGTGTGTGTGTTAAATGTAGATTAAATTTATGTCATAATAATGTTCGAATAATTCTATTATAGTTATTATTATTATTTAGATTATTTTTATTTTGAAAATTCGTTGGTTTTGAGAAATTGTTGGTGTCTGTTGAATTACACTTATTATTATTATTTGTTGTGGATTCCGGGATGAAAAATGAATGACAAACGCAGGAATGAAATATAGCAAATAAATGTATTGACGCAATAATACAATTGATAATACGGTTAGTAGATCCAGAAATGCGGTTAGTAGAAATAATAATAATATATATAGTCTGGGAAATTCAGTATCGAATTAGGACTTCCTTCTGAGTCTACGTGCTCGCAACTGTGACTCCTACAAAGCTGTTACCTCACTCATTCACTTTATCAGTGTATCTTTCTCTAACGCTTCCGGGTATTCACCGGCAGCAGTACAAGTACACACTGGGCGAGTCCACTTGTATGAAAAAGGGGTGGACCCCTTGACATTATTATTATTATTATTATTATTTGTTGGTTTATTATCCTTTTTGTATGTATTAGAAGACTTTTAGCGTGTGTTAAAGGCGGCTGTATTGTCGTGCTTTTCTGTTGTATGCATGGGGAATATGACAAGAAATTGAAAATGAAAGTAAATTTAGGTTACATCGTTTGCAAATGTATGGATCTTATATTACTTTAAGTATACGCTTTATGAATATTGGTAATGAGAAAAAGAGCATCTGGCATGTGTTTATCTCGTGAAGATTAATAATATACCTTCGAGGTATTTTCTTCGTAACAGTTTCTGTTTGAAAAGCAATTAATATGTATATATATTTTAAAATCTGATAATATCTCTTATTACTATGAACGTTATTTTCGAAGTGCACCTGGTTGAATAGACATAGGAGACGTTAATTTCGCCGTTTGCAAATGTCTTTTCAGACTGAGGTTTTCAATAAAATAACTATTATGGAAATAATATATATATATATATATATATATACACTGCGTGCCAAATTACTATGGAGATAATTTTTTTCTAATATTTCAAAAACCGTCCAATTATTTCGCACAAAATTTTCACACAACGTTGGCAATACTGACCTGTGCAATCACTGAATTTTTTCGTACAGATCTGCGCAATGTAAACAAACTGGCGCCATATTTGTTATCAGCACGGTGATTTGAGAGTGCCAAATTATTAGAAAAGTGTAAGAATTTAGTGAAAAGATGGGTCGTAAAAGCAGTTTCCGTGTTTGACGAAATGCGATTTTTGTACGAAAGACAGAAATAAAGAATATGAGAGAAGGAAATACGGAAAGAATGATAAAAAAAATGATTTTGTACAGCTGTAGAAAGAAAGGAAAAATGGCGAAAAAAAATAAGAGTCAAAATGGAAGCTGATAGAAAAAAAAAATGAAAGACAGATAAAAGAATAACTAAAGGAGGGAAAAGGAAAGAAAAATTTAGGAAGTAAAGAACGCAAAAGGAAAGAAAATACAGAACGAATGAAAATGAAAGATGAATTGATAAACTGAAAACGACGATTTTGTGAAGAAAAACTAGAAATAAAAAAAGAATAGGAAGAATGAAAAATTGAAGTACATTTCCATGATGGGAAAACATAAAGAAAGAGAAAAGGTAAGTTATAACAGAGGAAAAGAAAAAAATAATAATTATAGATAGATAGATAGATAGATAGAGAGAGAGAGAGAGAGAGGGAGAGAGAGTAACTACAGGAGCGAGTGAATAAAGTTGAAAGGCGATTTCAAGCAAGAAAAAGAGAAACAAATAAAGAATGAACAAAAACATGCAGAAAGAACATCAACGAAATAAATATACCAACGGTAGATATAGTGAAGAAAGGGGACTTGGAAAATTTGGCACTCAAAGGGCAAACTAAAGAGGAGAAAGAGGAAAGTAACGTTTAGCCTCCCTGACAGTGCAGGGTGAGGGAGACATGGCATATTTATATATATGTATATATACAATAGCAGTAGAGCCCGGCGTTGCCCGGGGGTATAACAGTAAGAGATAGATCAAGTATCGACCATCATAAAGACTGAAAAATAAAATTGACAAAGATTATTGTTTAAGATTGACGGACACGCATGTCTTAATTAGTTTTTTTTTTCTTTCTTTTTTACGAATTGGTCAAACTCAAACAAAAACATTATTTTCAATTGTTATGTGTCTACTGATTGAATAGAATTTTATTATAAACAATTGTCTTGTAAATGGAATTTTTAAAGCATTCTGAATGTAAAAATAAAGAAAAAAAGTGTGCAAGACAATAAGAAACACTACCTGCCAATAAAAAAGTGAAGTTTTGTTGAAATCGGTTGAAAAATGTAGGAAATCCGATCTAATATATAAACGAACACACACACACACAGACACACACACACACACAGACACACACACAGACACACACACAGACAACCTGAGTTTTATAATAAGTATAACTCGATATGAGTTGTTCCACTTTCATTCTCGCGACAGCGATGACTCTTAATCATGTTTTCAAATTGATTTCGTGCAAAAACAATTGTGTTTTTCCAATTTTTGACGCTGTCAGAACCACCGCAAGGTAATTTTACGTAGTCCTGTGAAGTTTTGTTGAAATCGGTTGAAAAATGTAGGAAATCCATCCAATATATAAACGAACACACACACACACAACCTGGGTTTTATAATAAGTATGATATATATATATATATATATATATATATATATATATATATATTACGCGCTACAAAGTGCACAAAGAAGTTGTGGAGAGCCAGGATCGTCAACGTTCTGAAGGGACACTGTACGAAGAAGAAGAAGAAGAAGAAGAAGAAGAAGAAATAAAAACGTAGAAAAAACGACAAATGTCAATATTAAAAATGATATGGAAAAAATACAAGACAAAAAAATGAGAGAAAAACTGAAGTAATGAAAAATGTAAAAGGATTTCAAGAACTGAAAAAAGAATGAAAAAGAAAGATGCTGAAGAAATATATCGCAGCATGAAAGAATAAAGAACGAATGTTAAATAAATCGATATTTGAAGAATTTTTTTTTTTAAATAACTACATAAATAATTAAAGAAATTTCTGAATAAGATTCTATCTGTAGTTTTTCATACATTGAAGAAGATGAACAGCACATCTGCCGATGCTGTACGTTCTACGATTCGCAATTAAATAATTTAATCTGGCCTCGTTCTGAAATATATCAGACAGTGACATTCAAGAAATGCGTAGGTCTGTCTAAGCTGAAAGACTTTCTTGAACAGCAAGCACATATCAGATCAAAAGTACGGTGAATTGAGAGAAAAAAATGGCATTAAAACGTACGGAAAAATCTAAGTAAAAGGATGAATCGAAGTCGGTTGCGCAATAAATCAGTTAAGAAACCAATCTATTGATTCATCTGTCGAGTTATGAATTTAGAGGCATTTTAACATTCCCTCAAATATTTGTATGCTTCAGTTATCACTATCTCTTTCAGATTTTCTCTCTACTTGAGTTTCGCTTGTTTATCTATCTATCTATCTATCTAAATTCATTATCTCTCTATTTCTCTCTCAGTTCATTATCTATCTCAGTTCATTATCTATCTATCTATCTATCTATTTCTCTCTCAGTTCATTATCTATCGATCTATCTATCTATTTATTTATCTATCTATCTCATTATCTATCTATCTATTTATCTCATTTCATTATCTATGTATCTGTCTGTCTATCTATCTCAGTTCATTATCTAAATATCTATATATCTACCGCATTTCATTATCTATCTATCGATCTATCTATCTCAATTTATTATTTATTAATCTATGTCATTTCATTATCTATCTATCTCAATTTATTATCTATCTCATATCATTATCTATCTATCTATCTAAATTTATTATCTATCTCATATCATTATCTATCTATCTATCTATTTATTATCTATCTATCTATCTCAATTTATTATCTATTTATTATCTATCTATATTTATTATCATCTATCTATCTATCTATCTAAATTTATTATTTATCTCATTTTATTATCTATCTATCTATCTCAATTTATTATCTATGTCATTTTATTATCTATCTATCTATCTCAATTTATTATCATCTATCTATCTCAATTTATTATTATCTCATTTTATTATCTATCTATATTTATTATCTATTATCTATCTATCTATCTATCTCATTTATTATCTATCTCATTTTATTATCTATCTATCTATCTCAATTTATTATCTATGTCATTTTATTATCTATCTATCTATCTCAATTTATTATCTATCTATCTATCTATCTCAATTTATTATCTATCTCATTTTATTATCTATCTATATTTATTATCTATCTATCTATCTATCTAAATTTATTATCTATCTCATATCATTATCTATCTATCTATCTCAATTTATTATCTATCTCATATCATTATCTATCTATCTATCTCAATTTATTATCTATCTATCTATCTATCTCAATTTATTATCTATCTCATTTTATTATCTATCTATATTTATTATCTATTCATCATCTATCTATCTATCTCAATTTATTATCTATCTCATTTTATTATCTATCTATATTTATTATCTATCATATATATATATATATATATATATATATCATTTCATTGTCTATCTATTTTCTATCTATCTCAGTTCATTATCTATCTATGATGTGTCAGTACATAAATATAAATCGATTTTAGGCTCTATATTTATGACATCATGTACAGATTGCTTATAATTTGAGTATCTATCATGCTTTGTTAGCTGCTATCGGTTCATTTCGTATTCTAACATATTTAATACGTATGCTCATATACTCCTATGCAAATATGCATATAAAAACACGCCTACATTCAGTTTGACAAATATTGAATTCTCATCTAAAATCTTCACACTTCACAATGTCATACTCCTACGATTAGTCTTGATGCGTTCAGTTGAAAAGAAAAGGAAGAAGATTATGTTGAAAATATAAATACTTGATGCGTAAAATAATTTAATTTTCATCTTTAGGTTGTATATAACGGGAGTAACAGCAAAATTGTCCAAATCGTGTAACAGGAAAATTTTCCAATTGTCAGATTAAGCTTTGAACCTTTATATCTTAGAAATGATTAACGATAATTTACTGGAATTGTCTGAGGATTTTTGACACTATTGGGCTCTACTTTAAACAATAAGAATGTATTTAGATCTAAGTAGAAATAAGGTTATCTCTTGCTTTTGTGACCTGATCCAGTTTTCCTTTCTACTGTTCCCTCTTTCTTAAACTTATTCACCGTTCTCTTGATGGTTCTCAAATGGACTTTGATGATGGAAACCAGAGGATAAATGTTCATACTATTACTGAAAGCCTGAATGATCTTTTTCCTCTCACCAATGCTCAGTTGGGAAGACATAGTGGAACTGACACAAAACGACTTTAAACCGTTTTCTTTCTAGTTGAATAACTCGAAGCGTTTTTCAGTGATTTTTACGACGAATGGTGTCAAGATGGCTAAATGTCTTATCTGCGTTCCATATAAAACCAAATTAATGAATAATTATATTGGACCTACCACAAAAATGTATATCAAGAAAATATGTGATTACACCTCAATTAGGACTCATTTAAACAAAAAAAAAAACAACCGTCCTAAGTAAGACGATAAACTACGTCCAACTGCATGGTCTCTGATCAGAAGTTTTTTGTGGAGCGTGGAATCACCTCTTAATTGCTGGTGTTCCCAGGTCTACCCTGACCCCGGGTGATAGCACCCATCAGGGTCCCAGCTATGGGCAAATAGCTAACCCCCAAACTGGGGTCAAAACACCATGAAAGTGTAAAAATAGGTTTTAAGAACAGAACTACTTTGTAAAAAAAAAAGGTATTACAAGCAATAAGTCTTTAAAGTAAAAAAAATATTACTAGCAATAAATTTTTGAAAAAAGATATTACCAGCTATACCTTTTTGAAAAAAAAAGAAAAAAAATTACAAGCGATATATTTTTGAAGTAAAAATATTACCAGAAATAGATTTTTGAAGGAAAAAAAATTACCAGAAATACATTTGAAAAAAAAAATATGACCAGCAATAAAAATCTTGTCAGCACTAAATAACCCATTGAGGTTGATATGCCGTACAACAAATCAAACCAAAACAAATCAAACTAAAACAAATCAAATCAAAACTAATCAAAACAAAACAAATCAAACTAAAACCGAAACCTACTAAATTCTATCCGCGGCACACTTGTGGAAAATACAGTTTTAATAGTCTTATCCACACGTACAAAATACTAAAAATAATGGCGGAACGAATGAATAATATCAGGGCATTAGAAATTGAATACGGACGATATGATGAAATGATCATACTCGAAAAGAAGTGGGAAGGCTAGATATCGGGTCCCGCAAGCCTTCTTTATGCAAACAACGTGAGTGTTTGCCGGGGCTCGCTGTCATCTGTCTCTAGTTCCTTCTTGCATATATATAATATATATATATATATATATATATATATATATATATATATATATATATATATATATATATATAAAAAAGAAAGAACAGTAAGATATATAATCCGGTGTTCTTATAGTTATTTTATTTTTACAAAATAGTGCTCAATGTAAATTTACAGAGCATAATATTATAAATTAATTAATTTAAAATATGTTTTTTTTTCCGTTAAACTGTGTAGCGGAAAAAGAACATTTTAAATCAATTAATTTATAATATATATATATATATATATATATATGTTTTTTTTTTTTCACCTATTCCTTATTGTACATTTTTCTGTTTTAATTTTGAATCTCCTGTGGAAGTTTGAAGAGCAGGAGCGAAACCGGTTGCTCCCTCTCCCGTTGTTGTGTTTTTTTATTATTTTTTTTATTGTTTAATATGTCTTGAAATATTAAATTTTATACTTTTATTTCGATCATTAAATTTTGTACCTACAAAAATATCTTTAAATAAATATATATATATATATATATATATATATATATATATATATATATATATATAACGAAACTTGTATAAAAGAGCAATTGCTGCCCAAATACAAAATTATTGCATGGACATAACCGCAGTAGGTTGTCAGTATTTTTAATGAATCTTGTATAAAACAGTGTCCACTGCCCAAATACACAAGATTATATATATATATATATATATATATATATATATATATATATATATATATTATGAAATGGACAAAGTCCAACAATTATTTTGAGACATTTTTATGTTTATACATTCTTTTTATAGATACAAATATTTAAGTAAATGCTCTGTTTATAATAAACAGTATTAACGACATTTACCCTGAATGTCCGAGAAATTTTCATAGAAAATATGCATCCTCCGACATGAATCGAACCTATATTCTATCACATGGTTATGATTATAATTGTCGGACTTTGTCCATTTTATAATGTGTGATGTCATTTGTTTACATTTGGATACGCTTCGAGCAGATATGAATGTACGAGAGAAAATCATGGCGAATTGTAGTTTACAAACAGTAAAATCGACCTTGCTAACCGCTCCTCTGTGGCTAAATCGGTAAACACGGCATGTTGTGTGACGGTTCTCTGCAGGATACATATACTGTTTTAATATATATATATACATACATACATACATATATATATATATATATATATATATATATATATATATCAGCTAGTTAAATGTAAGTAGTATCCTGATGATCTCAATTCTGTACAAAATAGCTTCATCGAAATTGTCTTCTTTTCAAATGGGATTTGATTTATAAAGAGGAAAATGTCGCAGTGAGCGTGATCTGGGAAATATGTTCATTGTGCTCTGGCCAAAACTGTTTCACTAGCTATGGTCACTGATAGAAACCCTATGGTGTGGTTGGACGACCACAGTCTACACACTTTCCTTCCAAGCACTGCTATAAGTAAAAGATGTGAGCGAGAAGGTGTGTAGGCGCGACAGAGATCAAGCTCAATTTGAACCAAGCAGCTTCATTCTGCATATTTTAGTTCCATTAGCAAGGCCAGTCCTGATACGTTTTGATGAGAACTCATATATATATATATATATATATATATATATATATATATATATATATGTGTGTGTGTGTGTGTGTGGCGGTGCGGATGCATAAACTTATGTTCCTAATTATAGTATAACACGCTCAAAGTCCGATAAACAAAGACGAAGGAATTGTTTTTATCTCTATATCATAATTTTAAAGAGCTTTAAAATAAAAACTCTGAAAATTTCCAACTATGTTTCAAGGCTAAACGCTCTTTAACACAAGGTAATCTATCTATCTATCTATCTATCTATCTTTTTGTCCAGTAAAATTATTCGACGTCATGATAGAAAATCACTTTGAGTATATACACCTACACACACACGCACATTATATATATATATATATATATATATATATATATATATATATAACTTTGTGTTATAGACAGCGTGGAATAATTAAGGATCGCTTTTTATCAAGCCAAAAAGTAAGAAAATATAAATTGAAAGAAAAGTAAATAAAATAAAAATCGACCAAGAAAGAACACACGTGTATATATATATATATATATATATATATATATATATATATATATATGTATGTGTGTGTGTGTGTGTGTGATCTTTTATTTTTTTACTAACTCCGTCATATTGATATTCCACAGTTTCCCTCCTTTTTATCCAATCAATGTCTTCCCATCGATTTATCTTCTCAGTTAAGGCTTTTCTCTCCCTTTCTGAGTCGAAATCATTTTTCTCTTTTATATTATTTTGTGGTTTATTTTTGTTTTAATTTTCTTTTCTCGTTAAAGATTAGATTCTAATCTTCCAAGTCCCATTTCTACGAAACTCTCGTGTAATTGCAGAGAAAATCACGTGAGATTACTATTACCCGCCATTTTACACGTAGCTTCCTTTCTACCTCCGAGGCATGAGGCTTCGATTCAAATTTTTATGACTGGTAATATAGTTTAATGGCAATTTTTTGGTTCGTCTCATTTTAAATAAAAAAACTATCTTTTTTTTATATTTTTTAAAATCTTTTTTTTTTATATTTGTTTGCGTTATCAGGATGGCTTGATTGTTATTTCGTATCAAATTACAAAGCAAACCAAAGGTCATCGTAACGATTAAATCGTATTTGAATTCTAGTCGGATTTGTTTTATATGACTGATCGACTTTCCTTTGTTAAACTTAATCGTCATTCATATTTAAATTGGGACCAACTTTGGGACATTTCAGGGGAAACATTTCGTAGTTTTGTCAGAAAACGTCCATTCGCAGGAAAATAAATGAACAATAAAACAGTAAATGCTGCCCACTGAAATAGGTTATAGATCCTGATTTCATGTTAGTCAGAGAGATAGAAAATTCTATTTCTTAAATGTCCCTGACATTCGATATTCCTTGATCTACGGTGTCACATATGCACCAAGAAAACAAGATAGAAAGCATTTCCGCTTACCCTAGCATCATCATATTTCCTTAAAGATCTAGTCAGACTTCTCTTTGTTAGTAGCGACTAAAATCACACCCATATTACGTTACCGGGAGTAGATGACACATAGCCAACAGGAGAGGTCAGCCTTCATTAGCTTAACAAAACTACCCTGGCTACTGCCCTTTACCAGGTTTTGTACGATCGTTAATTGAACCCTGCAGGAATGGAAACCTGTGACGTGGTATGATAAAGTTCTGTTACACTTGTTTGTGCAAGAGTTTGAAGAAAACAAACGTAAAAAATATTCTTCAAACTCTTACACAAACACTTCCCGCAATCAAGTACCCTACACAAAATATTCAACAAAAACACAGTAAAATTCAGCTACAGTTGCACCGAGAACATAGCACAAATAATAATAATAAAAAACACAACAGAAAAATTATCAGCAAACCACACGAACGAATTAAACTCACGTGTAACTGCAGAATAAAGAACGAATGTCCATTAAACGGTAATTGTTTACAAAACAACGTAATATACCAAGCCAAGATAAAATCTCCAGATAATGAAGAAAAAGTATATACAGGAGTAACTGAAGGACCCTGGAAACAAAGAAATTATGCACACAAAACATCTTTCACAAATAGTAACTATGCGAACAGCACAATACTTTCTAATTATATCTGGAATATTAAAAACAATACGCACATCACACCAAAAATATCTTGGAAAATAAGAAAAAAATCATCAGCCTACTAAAACCAATCAAAAACTTGCAAACTTTGCTTGGAGGAAAAAATAGATATCATTACCTTCCTAGACCAAAATAAATTATTAAATAAAAGATCCAAGCTCATTTCAAAATGCAGACATGAAAACAAATTTTTGCTACGTTACTTAAAAATCGAAAACTGAAAAAAATAAAAATAAAATAAATAAACAAACAAAATGACAATAAAATAAGTAAAATAAATTAACGCAAACAAATTACCAAATCACAACCATTAGAATAGACGAAATAGAATGAATACATAAAAAATAAAAACAAAATCAATGAACCCAAATAAATAAAGTAAATAATAAACACATTAACAAACCATTATGACCAAAATATTAGTTAGACTATAAAAATCAAACCAAAAATCGGGCAAAAACATAGCTATAACTGTAATATAAGGATAAAAAATACTACATTACTTAAAAATTGAAAACCGAAAAGAGTAAATAAAAATATACAGTATAATAAATAAATAATAAAAATCAAGTAAAACAAATTAATCTAAATTCATCCAAATAAATAAATAAACAAACAAACTAACAAACCGATCCCGAAATATTAACCGTTAGAAAAAACAAATAAAGATATTCAATCCAAATAAATACAAGAAATAATAAACAAATTAAAAACTGCTCCCGCCAAAATAATAGTTAGAATAGACTACAACAACCAACCCCCAAATTGAATAAATAGCTTTAATTATCTTCCCAAACCAAAACAAAACTATTAAATAAGCGATATAAACACATTTTTACTACGTTAATAAAAACACCGATAAAAATTTAAAAAAATAAGTATATAAGATACGAAATAAAAATAAAAAATAAAAAAATAAAAATAAATAATGACAAGCAAAAAAAAACAGATAAATAAATAAACAACTTCCGGTACAATAACCACCAAAATAGACTACTCACAATGAACCACTGACCCGTATTTATATATAGCCGAAAAAAATAACAGCACCCGTGGTCTAACGATTGCGTCCAGCATGAACCAGACTGTCGCCTCTAAGTGTTGACTTCAATCTTCACTTATATATATATATATATATATATATATATATATATATATATATATATATATATATATATATGGTAAAGATGGGACACAATTTAAATAAATACATGTATCATGGATTATAAAAATGACATATAGTAGGAAATTTATTTATTACATCTATATCTATAATTTTCAAAATGTGTGTATGTATGTACGGATGTGTGTGTAATCGGATGTTGGTTGTGCGTTTCCACAGTTTTTATCCGATTTCAATGGATATTTTTTTGTTTGATAATTCTTCAGTGCCGGTTTTGACTCTAAATTGGCTGGCAAAAATTACAACCTTGAAGGTGAAAGATTAAAAAAAGAACTGATTCTTTATACTTTGCACAAAATCTAACGCAAAAGATTATTAGAATTATAAAAAAAAAAATATATATATATATATTATAAATAAAAATTATCGTCTATTATTATTATGACGGTCCATGGAAGAAGTTCCTTCCTTGCAAGATTGAGAACGCAAAACGGCCCTTTTCAGGGTCACATACCCCCATTCAAATTGTTAACTTCCTATTTGGGGATGTGCCTCAGTTGCACCCAAACGTTATTACCAATATTGATTTTTGGGTGGGCTGTCTTTAAAATTAAACTACTCCAATAAAACGGCAAAAATTCCCAATAATGAAAAACCCGGTCGAAGACAGGTTATACTGCTAGTAACGGATATATAAGAGTTCAACATGATATTCAAGATTTGAATATTAAATCATTGAGATGGTTATCAACATGCATTTAGCTTAGCATATCAACTGGAATGACTGTGATCTCTCCGGATACCTTATTCTAGTTCAACAGCTATGCAGGAGCTTTATATCATGCTATCAGTGTTCACAGTGAAGTCCCATAATAAAGTAACACTATCATCTTCTATATTTGGTGACCTTTTTTTTATCTAACTTTATTTCTTTTACCATTCAGAAAATGTGAGAGCAAAAGGCACCACCAATCCGCGAAAATGATAGCGTTACTTTACTCTTGGACTTCACTATAAACACCGACCACTCAATATAAAGCTCACAGACCAGACATGGTCAGAAAAAATATCTTCAGAGAGCATAAATGCTATCTTTATGACAGGACCATAACGGTATTTTGCTCAAAAAATTTGCACTTTTTCTGTACAGGATAAGATATAACATTGACATATATATCAATGAACATATTACATTCTTTCATTATACTTATTTTAAAATTCAACAGATTCAAGTTTAGAGTAGTTAGATAATCTTCTAAGTTATGTCCCATGTCTCAGAACGTAGGCAATCATAACTTTCCACAACTTTCTGTCCTTTGTAGCTCTTACTAAATGTTGACTTTCTCTTATTTCTTGATCTAAGCATGTTATTCGTTTTCCTCTGTCCCTCGTGCCTTCAATCTGTCTTGTTAGTATAAAATTTTAAAAGCCCTGTTCTGTCATTATGTGTCCTAGAAACCGCAACTCTTTCTTCCTGATGTTAAGTATAAGTTTCCTATTATAAAACCAATGTTTTCCTCATCGGTGTGTACAGTACAGAAACGACAATTTAAATTTACCCTATTCATTAAATTATATGTCTGGTAATCACCTCCAACTCTATAGTAGACAAGTGATTGGTCTGTAGTTTTCAATTTAGATTTCCTTTAATGTATCCTTTTGAATGGGGGTTAGTCTGTTTCAGGTCATCCTTTCAAGGACTTAGCATTTCTTAGACTAGAGGTTTTATTTATTTCTGTTTAAGAGGTTTTCAAGTAATCTTGTTCTTTTTGTGTGTGATTCTGTGGGGCAAGTTAATAGGATACAAAAAAGGATCGTTTTTTTCTTTTAAGATTTAAAGCGTTCATTTGCTTGAAATTATTCTTAATCATTGATTCGATGTACCATGTCATCTGACCCAAGTTAACTGCAATTGGTTTGAGGTGCATTCTGGAATCATCTCACGAATGATATGGCCGCCATGTCTGCCTGATAAAGCCCAGTTGTGCATTTAAATGACGTAGTGAAGAGCTCTGTCTACAGTCAAGATCTAGCACCTGCAAACACCAGGTAGATGGAGACGGCG